TATCGAATCAAAGATGGTGTGCATGAAGGCGATGGGTGGCCCAGTGGAGTTAGTGCTCACCCGTAACACCAAAGACCAGGGTTCTTTTCCGTAAATGGATTTAGGAAGTACCATGTAGGACAAAGCTAAATGCACCAGTGAACTCGCGATCGGTTCATTGAAAAGGAAGTTTGTTATTCACTTGACGAGTGACGCTGTTATGGAAATGTTTAACTATAGATCACAATTCACTGTGATTACTTTGGAAACTTTGGAGATACATATCCTGTGTTTGCATTTCAAAGTTGTCAAATTCGTTACCTATTAATTTGTTTTAACCAAACCCGATACCCAGATCTATCGATTAAAACACAAATTTTGTATAAGCTCAGAGTTGATTTGATGAATTCAGGGATCACTGAAGATGTTTCTATTTCAGTCCGCATATATTTGCTGCCCTACATCTACAACTAGCATTTTGACGTCAAAGCTATAGCGTCATCACGGGATAGATTATAGTATTAGCAGATGTTAAGGAATCATCACCAAACAGTTATCACATTAGTTGTTCGTGGAAAGTAAGCGTATAAATTTTCACTTGAAAAAAGACACACACCCCACCCCCCCCCAATAAATAAATAAATTAAAACGATCCAAAAGAAAAAACAAACAAAAGACCCCCAAAACCAAAACACACCTACCCTACAGAAAACGAAAACAAACAACAACAAAAACCCAAAACAATCAGTAAAAACAAAACAAAGAAAAAAACTCAGACGGGAACGTATGATACTCATTTGAACGATTGTATTCACATCCATGTGTGATTTATATCCAGGTTTACCCTCTACTTGCTAAATATGTCCTGATGATTTGCCATCACCTCTGTCCGTTGTCAACATTGGCCATGGCGTACCCCGCACTTAACAGAGGCAGCGATCTGGCTTTAAATAAAACATGTCCTATCAGGTCGCTGGCTCTTTTCGGTGCGAGGTAGGTCATAGTCAAGGTTATCAGTGGCGATCGGAAACGGCGTGAGCCTGTTTGTAAAGAATAAAAGTACGTATAGTCATTATGAGAGTTAGGTGAAAGCGTCCCGGAAACAATGGCGATTACAGCGCTGGCATGTGCCATCGATTCCGTGTGGTTTTGTATTCAGGTGCAATAGTCAGCGGTACACATTCTGAGCAGGGATTTAGGCTCGGAATAAAGAACTCACGACCTTCGCGAGCACCCGAAGACCCAAGCTCCCGTAGTACGGCTTATTTATGTGATCTGTATCTTGTTTGGTAGGTAAATTTATTGGTTTGAAATGCGTGTATAGCTGTATGGGGGTATGCTCAGCGTGCATGGGTGAATTCGCCCTGGGAGGAACTTAGTGTGCTGACCTCGTCACACCCCTTTTCTTATATATAGTGCGTGTACAGACATATTCCTCAGACAAAGCACAGACATATATAGCTGTGTATGTAGATGTTCAACATGTCGGGACTAATGGTATCCAGGCGCAAGTGGATAACTATTTGTTGTACGTAAGAAACGGGTGTCTATAAATGAAGAGTGAGTGAATGAGTTAGAATCTAACGTCACCTCGGCAATATTTCAGCCATATAGTGACGAGAAATGTTTTACATAAACAATAAATTAAAGTTGGTAAATAATCAGTCATCGAAGGACTGTAAAATAACTAGAGTATCACAGATGGAGTCTAAAACTAGCATGAACATTTAAAACTATTTTATTTACGAAGACAATACAATATAAAAACGAGCTATAGATCGCCAACAACTGAAGGTAGATCACCATACTAGGAACCATGGGGACTTACATTACTTTTGCTACCTGCATTGACCCTAGTTGGATTTACACCATCCCTTCAGCAGCTGGCGATTGTAGGACAAGTTTAGCCAAAATTTAAAAGAACAAATATACTACATTTAAAATCGGGTAAGCAAAACTTTCTTTGAAAGTTTTGGGACTTACTATAAATGAAGAAAAATGGCCTCCTAAAATTTTAATATTTTCTAATAACAACGCATTTTTAAAACGAAATTCTCAGCTTTCCCTCTAAGATTACACCAAATGAAAATGAAAATCAAGATCATGTATGTACGTGTATGCGTGCGTGCGTGTTTGTGTATGTGCTTGAAAATACATTACGTCAACGTTAGAAAATAACCAGTTTAGATTGTCCACAGACACAGATTCATATAGGCGTGAATGGAAAGTAGATATGAAAATGATATGGATGGATTATTGAAATCAGAGATGATATCAGGTTTTCGTGGAAACGGCAAGCTTGTGGCACATGTTCAGGTAAATAAAACGAAAACCGCCAAAGTATTCATCTTCACGTCTTCATCCAAATTCACTTGAGGCTTTGCACTAAGGGGGTGGTGGGGTTGCCTAGTGCTTCAAACGTTCGCTTGTCACGTCGAAGATCCGGGTTTGATTCCCCACATGGGTACGAACATGTGTGTTGCCCCCCGCCGTGATATTGCTGGAACATTCGTAACTAGTCGCCTCTTTCCGCGACCTACAAGAAGACTCGTACCCCTATCGTACGCCATTATTGCCAATAATCGTGGCAAACCAATCAAATCGCGCGTGTATTAAAACGCATTTCGAACCGTGAAAATGGCGGCACCGTTGAAGTTTGAAACTTCGCGAAACTATGCAAAGCACAATTTAAACTTAAACATTTAGCTAAAGGATCAGAAACTTTAAACACTGAAACATATTTACGAAAGGAATGTCTGTATAGCTGTTTAGCCCACAGGAAAGAGATATTCTAGGAGTTATGTTTGGAAATTAAGAGTTATATTTCCTTGGTAATAGTACTAGACTATTTTCATCTCCATGCCCGTTTGCGCTTAGACAGGGCCGAGTCGTAAACATGGCCACGAGAGGGGTACGAGACGCCATCCGGCTTGCCTGAATGACACGAGTAGTGATTGCTGGAATATTGCTGTAAGCGGCGTTAAACTAAAACTCACTCACTCATTTAGCACTGAGAGGCGATTGGTCAGCTCAAAGGCTAGGTATATTTGTGGGTCCTGGTTATAGTTAATCCTCAGGGGTCTAATGTTTGTCGTAGATGGATTTAGTGGTGAGTCTCATTGACTTGATTACTTGTCATCGTAAGTGAGGGTGCGGACGAAGCTAATTTAAATCTTTACAATCAAGGTGGGTCATTGCTGACTGAGGATGGAACAACAAACATACACGACTGTTGCCATACTGAGAGACCAATAACGAGTAGGTGAGTGAGTATGGTTTTCCGCCGCTTTTATCAATATTCCAGCAATATCACGGCACTGGATACCAAGTGTACCCATGCGAGAAAACGAACCCAGGTCTTCCTGCCGATCTAACACGTTTACTACCAGGCTATCCCACCGCCTCTGTTAAGAAACAGATACAAACCAGTTTTGTAATTCGGGTAAACTGACCGATCTGATAAATATTAACTAGGAACACAGTACTCTAATATCTATCGTTTCAGAGGTGTTAGACAAATAAATTAACCCCATGTCTCATTTAGCATGTACTTGGATATCGTTTGAACAGTCCTACAAATTGGGGGCAAGTTTCACCCCCTCCTTTATTCCATTTGTCCATTCGATTTAATGTAAACGAAAAGTCACCACACAGTTGAGCACAGATCCACACAGTTCAAGACAGAAACAAATACTGATTAAGTGAGTGAGTGAGTGAGCTAACGCCTCTTCGAACAGTATTTTACTTATATAACGGCGGGTCTGCTTATTGGGGGAGTAAAACCCGAAGTAACGCAGATATCATCCTCGATAATCTCAAGGGTATACGTTACGATCACTCTCCACTATACCCTGGATGCATCCACGGCTTGACCCGACAATTATATTACCTCCGAGCCAGCAAAGGCCCCGCATTCTTAAAGTAGCCAATCAGCTAAGCCGCCGTTACATCCTTGAAAGTGTCAACATAGATAGCGGTCGCAGTCGCGAAGGTTTGTTCGCATTGCCAGTCAGATTTTTGGGGAAATCATACTAACAAATTGACAGATCTGAAACTTCTAAAAAAATATATGAAAGAACTCCTTCTACCTCTTTCAGACTACATCTGCATCAATTGTGTTGCTAAGTTTAAACGGTTAGATAATTTAAGAAGCGAAAGTGAGTTGTGATTGGTTCGCTCAACTTCCCAGCGTAGACACCTGATTGGATAAAAAGCCAGCCAAGGGAGGTAATAAAATCATCGGGCCAAGCCGTGGATGCCTCCAGGGTGTAGTGGAGAGTGATCGTGACGTATACCCTGGAGATTATCGAGAATGCGCAGATATATGACGTTTACCTATTTGACGCAAACTACGATCAACGAATATAGTGCTTACAAAGCTAGATATCTAATTGGAGCGAACCGGGATTCGAACCCAGTATCGTTGTTTCCAGCACGATCAAGGGACACAATCCTGCTTAGCGAAATGCGGCCAACGAAACGATTGAGCCACCCTGGACTATTCACCCTCGAATGACGTTCCCGTTTCAGTGAATTCTCATAACAACCACGACAAACATTAAATGAGCCATTAAAGCTGATTACTGTTTCTAAACCAAGTTTTGTATTCACTTGTTGAAAGTGAACAGCTCGACAAATAGAACGAACGCTTTAAAACGCGATGTTTCCCGATAGCTACAGAATTATCATTAATCAATACGTGTCGTGATTACAAAGCAATTAAACTCAAGTTATTATGCACAGGATTCCTCCGTGCTGATCAATAGGAGGACAAAGAACTGTTCCTTCCTGCTGTTAAATATTCCATCCTCTCACATATATCTTGAACAAGCCCATCAGTGAATAACACGCGCTGGACTGCTTTACCATTCAGGAAGTTCATAAAATGACACACGGAGTAATTGTTTGCAAAGACGCAATATTGATTACTGGAATGTATAGCTCGCTTGGCATCTATAGATTTGTGGGAGGAAATCAGCGTCGAGCAAATACGGATGGAAACCAACAGATGTTATTCGCCAAGTTCCACAATAAGCACTTCACTTAACAACGTCACTGTGTGGTTGTGCAGAACGGTGGAGTTGACCAGGTTTGGAATCTGGGTTTTCGTTAAGGTGGAGTTCATCTTCATATGAAACAGGTGGTATGGAGAGACATGGCGGGCACATGTAGAGGGACAAATGTTGGATATTTACGAATCGGTGGCGTTTGTGAAGAACTTGTACCCTTGATTTTACGCAACTTCAAACTGGATTCAATTTGTTTGTGAGCTAGAATTCGAACTTTTAAAAGCCCTTTACTCAACTTCAAATTGGATTAAATAGGGTTGTAAGCTGAAACTCGAACTTGGAACCTTTACTCAACTTCAAACTGGATTCAATTTGGTTGTGAGGGGTGATCTGAGTAGTTTCGGTCATGTTAATACAATAGTGACGGTCGTGAGATATTATCATCTTGGAAGATTCAGGAGTCCTCCATATGAAGACTTCAAGGGATTGCGAGCTTCAATGGATAAATGCGACTTTAAGAGGATTGTTGAGGATCTTGTGTTTTAGTTACAGGTCATAACCGCAATAAGCAATCAACATTGTAATGTTTCGAGTTAATTGATTTGACATTATCAAATTGTGTCTAATATCTGGTATACATAGCCCATTTTAGGAAGGAGTAATCAAAATGCAAGATGCTTAAGAGTTGTACACATTTGTATATGTCATCTGTACAGGCGGCTTCATCGAGGAGTTGTTGTTTATACATGCATACAGGATGGGATGGATTTTACGATGTTTCACAAGGCGTTCATTGATCAATGGAGACTGTTGTCGGAGCTATTTTCTTCAAGGATCTAGCGCATACAGAACATTTTCTAAATATACCACGGACGGATTAAACTAAAGTTGACAGCCAACCGTAACGTTTTAATTGATCGACACTTACTTCCTCGTGTAATTGGCACGCATAAAACGGTGTACTTGCCACTGCAAGACGTGTTGCGAAGGAAACCAACAGTAAATCATAGTGCATTGCAGGCAAATGAGAAAACCAGTGCACATCGCCCAGTATTGATGATTCGTGCGTGCATAATGAATGATTTCAAGATTACAGGGCAGCGCACCTGTCGTTAATTAGCCTTCATTAAATATACAGAACTATAAGGCCGTGACACTTTCTCCATCAGGTAAGCTGACGATATGGCTGCACTGACATAAATATCCTTGTACGTGACATCGGGATAAACAATGATGAACCTCGAGATTCCGTCCGGGCTGGGGGACATGCTGAAGGATTTCACTGTTGCAGTTCTCCGTGAGAAACCCAGCGACCTCAACGACTACGCCGTGGAATACTTCACCCGGGCGAGAGATATAAGTAAACCGAAAACAGTTCCTATGTACATCATCGTCGATGATGACGAAGCTGGCGAGCCGGATCTAAAGCCGAAAACTAATAAAAACAAATACGCCCGACGGAATTCAGTATCTGCAGAAAGGTATGACCCGGAAGCTGATGATGATGAAAAGGAAAAGGTCGTTTACCCCAAATCTCCAGAACAGAGGAATCGTCTTAAAGAAGCCCTGGGGGGAATCCTGATATTTCGTAGCTTGGATTCCGACCAAATCAATGACGTTATTGATGCCATGTTTGAGAAGAACGTTACAGATGGCGAAGTTGTTATCAAACAGGGCGATGACGGTGACAACTTTTACGTCATCGATTCAGGCACGTATGACGTCATTGTCGACACAAACGGAGACGAAAAGAAGGTGTTTGAATTCGACAACAAAGGAAGCTTCGGAGAATTAGCCCTTATGTACAACATGCCCAGGTCGGCGACGATACGTGCTTCGGAAGACGGAGTACTATGGGCCATGGACCGGTCGTCATTTCAACGTATCATACTGAAAGCTGCGTTCAAGAAACGCAAGCTTTACGAACGGCTTCTGGAACATGTTCCTATGCTGCAGTCGATTGACCAATATGAGCGAATGAACCTTGCTGACGCACTGCTCACTAAGATCTTTGCTGACGGAGACGTCATCATAAGCCAAGGGGACGAGGCAGATGGGATGTACTTTATTGAAGATGGCTCGGTGTATATCTCCATCAACAAAGATGCCGGCCATGTTGAACGTGTTGGAAGTCTTTGTGAAGGGAAATATTTTGGAGAACTGGCCTTGATCGAGAATAAGCCAAGGTCAGCTAACGTTGTGGCCGACGGTAAGGTGAAGGCTGCGTTTTTAGAACGTGAATCCTTTGAGAGACTTCTTGGGCCATGTTTAGATATCATGAAACGGAACTCGGAGATTTACAAGAAATATGCGGGAAAGAAATGATGAAGGACAGAAAGTGTCTGTGTGGCAATTTGTATGAATGAACCAGGTGCAACTTTTGGTTTTGCCTCGCATGCGGATTTCAGGAAATATGAGGACTTCAATATATGTTGAGGAGATAAACATGTGTCTCCAATTGTTGTGTTCATGTTCTGTGTAATCGACGTTTGTGATGACGACAGTGGACGGAATGATCATGGATAGAGAATGTTCGTATGGTAATTTGTGTAAATGCTCCGACCGGGTCCTACTTTTGTTTCGTCCTTAACGCGGATTTCTGGAAATGATCACTGCTTCATATGTTGTGGAGATTCAATGCTACATATGTTGTGGAGATTCAATGCTACATATGTTGTGGAGATTCAATGCTACACATGTTGTGGAGATTCAATGCTACATATGTTGTGGTGATTCACTGCTACATATGTTGTGGCGATTCAATGCTACATATGTTGTGGAGATTCAATGCTACATATTTTGTTCAGATTCAATGCTACATATGTTGTGGTGATTCACTGCTACATATGTTGTGGCGATTCACTGCTACATATGTTGTGGAGATTCAATGCTACATATTTTGTTCAGATTCAATGCTACACATGTTGTGGAGATTCACTGCTACATATGTTGTGGAGATTCAATGCTACATATGTTCTGGAGATTCACTGCTACATATGTTGTGGTGATTCAATGCTACATATGTTGTGGAGATTCAATGCTACATATGTTGTGGAGAGATTCAATGCTACATATGTTGTGGAGATTCAATGCTACATATGTTTCTCAAGATTCAATGCTACATATGTTGTAGAGATTCACTGCTACATATGTTGTGGCGATTCACTGCTACATATGTTGTGGAGATTCACTGCTACATATGTTGTGGAGATTCAATGTTACATATTTTGTTCAGATTCAATGCTACACATGTTGTGGTGATTCACTGCTACATATGTTGTGGAGATTCACTGCTACATCTGTTGTGGAGATTCACTGCTACATAAGTTGTGGTGATTCAATGCTACATATGTTGTGGAGATTCAATGCTACATATGTTGTGGAGAGATTCAATGCTACATATGTTGTGGAGATTCAATGCTACATATTTTGCTGAGAGATTCAATACTACATATGTTGTGGAGATTCACTGCTACATATGTTGAGGAGATTCAATGCTACATATGTTGTGGTGATTCAATGCTACATATGTTGTGGAGATTCACTGCTACATATGTTGTGGAGATTCACTGCTACATATGTTGTGGAGATTCAATGCTACATATGTTTCGGAGATTCACTGCTACATATGTTGTGGCGATTCAATGCTACATATGTTGTGGTGATTCATTGCTACACATGTTGTGGAGATTCAATGCTACATAAGTTGTGGCGATTCAATGCTACATATGTTGTGGAGAGATTCAATGCTACATATGTTGTGGAGAGATTCAATGCTACACATGTTGAGGCGATTCAATGCTACACATGTTGTGGTGATTCAATGCTACATATGTTGTGGTGATTCAATGCTACATATGTTGTGGAGATTCAATGCTACATAAGTTGTGAAGATTCAATGCTACATATGTTTCTCAAGATGCATATGTTTCTCAAGATTCAATGCTACATATGTTGTGGCGATTCAATGCTACACATGTTGTGGTGATTCAATGCTACATATGTTGCGGAGATTCAATGCTACATATGTTTCTCAAGATTCAATGCTACATATGTTATGGAGATTCAATGCTACACATGTTGTGGAGATTCAATGCTACATATGTTGTGGAGATTCAATGCTACATATGTTGTGGAGATTCACTGCTACATATGTTGTGGAGATTCACTGCTACACATGTTGTGGATATTCACTGCTACATATGTTGTGGATATTCACTGCTACATATGTTGTGGAGATTCAATGCTACATATGTTGTGGAGATTCAATGCTACATATGTTGTGGTGATTCAATGCTACATATGTTGTGGAGATTCACTGCTACACATGTTGTGGATATTCACTGCTACATATGTTGTGGAGATTCAATGCTACATATGTTGTTGAGAGATTCAATGCTACATATGTTGTGGAGATTCATATGTTGTACATATGTTGTGGAGATTCAATGCTACATATGTTGTGTGATTCAATGATTCAATTCAATGCTACATATGTTGTGGATTCAATGCTACATATGTTGTTGTGATTGCTACACATGTTGTGAGATTCAATGCTACATATGTTGTGGTGATTCAATGCTACATATGTTGTGGAGATTCAATGCTACATATGTTGTGGAGATTCAATGCTACATATGTTGTGGTGATTCAATGCTACATATGTTGTGGAGATTCAATGCTACATATGTTGTGGAGATTCACTGCTACATATGTTGTGGAGATTCAATGCTACATATGTTGTGGTGATTCATTGCTACACATGTTGTGGAGATTCAATGCTACATAAGTTGTGGCGATTCAATGCTACATATGTTGTGGAGAGATTCAATGCTACATATGTTGTGGAGAGATTCAATGCTACACATGTTGAGGCGATTCAATGCTACACATGTTGTGGTGATTCAATGCTACATATGTTGTGGTGATTCAATGCTACATATGTTGTGGAGATTCAATGCTACATAAGTTGTGAAGATTCAATGCTACATATGTTTCTCAAGATTCAATGCTACATATGTTTCTCAAGATTCAATGCTACATATGTTGTGGCGATTCAATGCTACACATGTTGTGGTGATTCAATGCTACATATGTTGCGGAGATTCAATGCTACATATGTTTCTCAAGATTCAATGCTACATATGTTATGGAGATTCAATGCTACACATGTTGTGGAGATTCAATGCTACATATGTTGTGGAGATTCAATGCTACATATGTTGTGGAGATTCACTGCTACATATGTTGTGGAGATTCACTGCTACATATGTTGTGGATATTCACTGCTACATATGTTGTGGAGATTCACTGCTACATATGTTGTGGAGATTCAATGCTACATATGTTGTGGTGATTCAATGCTACATATGTTGTGGTGATTCAATGCTACATATGTTGTGGAGATTCACTGCTACACATGTTGTGGATATTCACTGCTACATATGTTGTGGAGATTCAATGCTACATATGTTGTGGAGAGATTCAATGCTACATATGTTGTGGAGATTCACTGCTACATATGTTGTGGAGATTCAATGCTACACATGTTGTGGTGATTCAATGCTACATATGTTGTGGAGATTCAATGCTACATATGTTGTGGCGATTCAATGCTACATACGTTGTGGAGATTCAATGCTACATATGTTTCTGAAGATTCAATGCTACATATGTTTCTCAAGATTGAATACTACATATGTTGTGGAGATTCAATGCTACATATGTTGTGGAGATTCAATGCTGCATATGTTTCTGAAGATTGAATGCTACATATGTTTCTCAAGATTCAATGCTACATATGTTGTGGAGAGATTCAATGCTACATATGTTGTCGACATTCAATGCTTCATATGTTGTGGCGATTCAATGCTACATATGTTGTCGACATTCAATGCTACATATGTTGTCGACATTCAATGCTACATATGTTGTGGAGATTCAATGCTACATATGTTCTGGAGATTCAATGCTACATATGTTGTGGAGATTCAATGCTACATATGTTGTGGTGATTCAGTGTGTTCATGTTCTGTGTATTCGACCTTTGTGATAAAGTCTAAACTCGTAATTAAGACAACCTTTGGACATGGCTCATTACGAACTCACAATTACAGGTGTGTTTTTATAGGAAAGGGATGGTGTAATGCCAGTATTGAATTTTAATCGAAAGAAAAATTAATCTATCCCTAACCATTCCAGAACACTACAGTGGAACCAGGACATTTCAATGGAGACAGTTTAATGTGTGTCACGTAATGGTTCAAATATAATTACCGCCTTTTAGCTGGAATAATGATTATTAAACTACAAACAAACAAATCAAATCTACAGGGATTTCCGATGGTCCACAGATATACGAATTTAAGAGGTTTCACTGTAGTAATATGATAATTTCTGCAAGTTTCGAAATTGTCTGGTATAAGAATACCACGAGATTCAGCGTGTGTTTCTTGTGTTGAAGATATGATGTAAGCCTGTTGATTTCGTTTGTCTGAAAAAAGGTCGACTGTTAAGCAAATATTGGCTTTAGTACTAGTAAAGAGGCTATATGAATCATAGCACGTATTAATTGTTGAGTAATAATATATGTTTCAAGACGGATGCACGATTAATATGTCAAGTGTATCAGTTTACTTGTATACACATTTTATGAGACAGCTTTAAAGTTACTCGTGGTGTAAAATTCATCATATGAAAGATTACGTTAAAGTAGGTGTTTAGTAATTTCATGAAGGCTAATTTCTTGTCGATTAATCCGCCGTATAAAGGATTGCTATAAAGTGTCGCTTGGGGTTTAATCCATCTTATAAATGATTACTATAAAGTTGGTGTTGTGTGCATCTAATGAAAGATTACTTTATAGTGACTCTTATTGTTTAATCCATGTTTAAAGGATTACCCTTCAGTTACTACCAGTGTTTAATTCATCTTACTCGGATTACATTAAAAATCTTTGTTTTAGCGACACTTATTGTTGAACTAATCTCCTGAAAAATTATTTTAAACTTACTTATTGATCTCAGCCGTGGGCACTGTATAGTAATTCTTCATAAGATGTTTTACACGTAAGTCAACAATTAAAACAAATAACGACTTTTCTACAATCTTTCCATTTTGTGATGTAAAAGTGTGTGTATACTATGTGCATAGCATATTGTTAAACTGATGCATCATCTTCACTCGTGGAGAGTCATATATAGTACCTGTCGTGTAGAATACTGATATCAGTTGTCCGTATACATGACAGCAACGTGCAGGAATAAATAGTGCTCAGAACTTACTTTGTCTATATTGAATTCTTTTTTGTAATATAAATTACTCGTGAGTAATTTCCAAACGCCCAAAGCTTCACGTCGTCATATACACCATTCATCATATGTATGTATTACTTCGTTAGGGGGCGGGGCGGTGGGGTAGTCTAGTGGTTAAAGCGTTGGCTCGTCA